TTCTTACTTCTTCAGTGAAATCTGCTAGAACCTGATTGCCAAAGAGGAAGTCTTAAATGGGGATGCTGTTTGGACCAGGGATGCATGGCTTCATCAATGTATAGGAGATGTTTACTGAGGACCAGTCAGGGTGACCCTGCTTCCTGGCCAGTCTCATTGGGTCCTCAGAAACCACAAAAGGAATGAGATCTCTAGAGATGGTTTCTGTCTCCAGAGGAGCAGCCCTCAGATGGCTTTTACTGTGCTCACATAAGACTGTTAAAGTGTCAAATGCAGCATCACTGTACATGTAAAAAAGTTCTGCTGATTGGACAGGCAAAAGATATGTTGCAGTATCTTGGGCACTGTCTCCAGGAGTCACCGAAGAGTAACTGGTGATGGAATGTTGTCCTTCAGTGGATATCTGTAGCATGAGAGATTATGGTCAACAGTGCCTTTAACTCTTAGGCTTCCAGTGTCTTGATTGGGAAGTTGGCACAGTTCCCATTTATATACCCACTATTGATGACCCAGCATCTGGAGTGGTATTTTCAAGGAGTTAGTGTGAAACTTAAAGCTAGAAGCATAGTACCAGAAGTCTCAATATAGATGGAAGGAATGAAGAGAATTTCTAAGTCGTTTGAGCCTGAGGGCATGTGACACCAGTCCAAGTCAGGTGATAGTAAACTTCATTATTTGGCCAATCAAAAGATTCAATCTCTTCCTGCTCCACCACCTAGGATAACAGCTGCAAGGAGGAAATATGCTAAACTGGAGAGGGTACTACCTCATTCTGAGTCATACTCATGAAAGTCCATGACAGTCATTATCCTGCTTCACTCTTGTGAGGCAGGACTCTTTGGCCCTGTGCTACTCTGTCTGTCAGATGACTTAAGGGTAAAGGCAACCTTGTATCATTACTCCTCATGCACAGAAAGGTGATTGTTCCTTGAACACCTCTTGATCCTCCTGGGTCATTTGGATGAAGACGGTCAGCCACACTCCCTCAGTTCAATCCTCCACACTGAGAAAGAAGATGAAGTTTGTCTGTGGTCCAGAACATTTATCTCTCAAGTATAAGGCCAAAGGCCTAAAAGTCAATCAAAGCATGAAAGAGAAGGACCAATCACTCCAACTCATTTTCTGACCTCTCCGAACATTGGGCTTGAGTAGGAATTTAGGAAGGGGAATGCCAATCTAATCCACTTACCTCATTGGTGCTCAATAGTCAACACCATGCTTCTACTTGGATTCATTAGTAGTATTGACCCATTTATCAAGAGGGCTCCCATGGTAAATATTAAAAGATTGGGGCCCCATGCATGTTGACTAGTGACCTCTGGTTCTGAAGAATTAGATTGTAGGTGACTCAATCCTATCACTCAAAACTAGTTTGAGGAGCTGAGAGGTTGCTACTCATCTCTCAAGGGGATAGGGAGGCATGAATAACTATGACTGCTTATTTCCTCCCTTCAAGGAGCACATTTGGCCTCATGCATCTCCAAATACACAGATCACACCCAAATCATGAGTTGTTGCTTTCATCTTTTCTGTAGATTGTTACTCAAACGTTGCAGTGGTACTTTTGAAGAAAAAACACACATGTATTTCGCCTTTACTCTTTCTTGTCAATTATATTTGTTGATCTGGAAGCAGTGTTCTGTGAATGTGCCATTTGACAACTGTTTGTGTTAGCACAAAGGTATAGAAATGAACATAGGCACATGCTATTGATTAGGTGTTAACTGGAGTCACCATTTTCAGGAATTTAGCAAGATATTGATGGATTTAACTCAGGCCTTATTGTACAATTGCTGTCTTCAGGAATTTAGTAAGATATTGAGGCCTGATTGCACAATCACTGTCTTCAGGAATTTAGCAAGATATTGATGGATTTAACTCAGGCATTGTACAATCACTGTCTTCAGGAATTTATCAAGATTTGAATGGATTTAACTCAGGTCTGATTGCACAATCAGTGTCTTCAGGAATTTATCAAGATATTAATAGATTTAACTCAGGGCAGTTTGTACAATCTGCACTGTTTTCAGGAATTTAGGAAGATATTGATGGATTTAACTCAGGCCTAATTGTACAATCACTGTCTTCAGGAATTTGGTAAGATATTGATGGATTTAACTCAGGCCTGATTGTACAATCACTGTTTTCAAGAATTTAGTATGATATTGATGGATTTAACTCAGGCCTAATTGTACAATCACTGTTTTCAGGAATTTAGTAAGATTTTGATGGATTTAACTCAGGTCTGATTGTACAATCACTATCTTCAGGAATTTAGTAAGATGTTGATGTATTTAACTCAGGCATTGTACAATCACTGTCTTCAGGAATTTAGTAAGATATTCTTGGATTTAGTTCAAGCCTGATTGTATAATCACTGTCTTCAGGAATTTAGTAAGATATTGTTGGATTTAGTTCAAGCCTGATTGTACAATCATTGTCTTCAGGAATTTAGTAAGATATTGTTGGATTTAGTTCATGCTTGATTGTACAATCTTCAGGCATGAGCAACATTATGTTGCACTCATTTTTTTTCCCTGGTCTCTTCTTCCTACAAAAAGATTTCCAAGTTTCTTATGAATATGCCTAAACCTGTCAAACCAATTACAGCAAGCATGAGTGGAATTGTCTTACTGTGTTGACCCAACATGACTCTTCATGCTGTATCCATGTTTCTTCTTCAAACTATCACTTTATCCACTTGACAAGCAAGTCCATATTCTCCCACTAAACCAAAACTTTTAGAAAGACCAGATCACTAAATTTGACAATATCTTACATTATTTGCATCCCTTTCTGCTTTCAGAAATGGTTTCAGTGGTCAAACTTGCCCTACACCAAAACAAATATGCTGCAGCTATTTTTATGGATTTATAACAAAATTCAACTGTTTATGTCAACAACTCCTCCTCCAGAAACTGGCAAGCATATTTAATTTTTGATTTGCCAGTAAATACTATAGCATATGGACTTTACAATTCGGCAGCAAATACCTAAGCATATGGAATATTTACTGCCAATTTGGCAGTAAAATAGCATATGGACTTTCCAATTTGGCAGTAAATAGCATATGGACTTTCCAATTTGGCAGTAAATAGCATATGGACTTTCCAATTTGGCAGTAAATAGCATATGGACTTTCCAATTTGGCAGTAAATAGCATATGGACTTTCCAATTTGGTAGTAAATAGCATATGGATTTTCCAATTTGGCAGTAAATAGCATATGGACTTTCCAATTTGGCAGTAAATAGCATATGGACTTTCCAATTTGGCAGTAAATACTATTGCATATTTCCTTTCAAACATAAGAAAATTTGTAAAAATAGGAAACCCAACTAGTCCATGGGAAACCTGGACCATATAACTCAGGAACCAATTCTTGGACATGTACTTTATCATATTTTTAATAATGGCATCTCTTTTCATATATGATTCTGATCTCTATAGCTATGCTAATGACAAAATACTTACTAATGCTAACCATGACTTTAATATTATGAAATCTACTTTAGCAATGGAGTGTAGTATTTTAATTAGGCACTTTACCAACAACAAAATGAAAGCAATACCTGATACGATTCAAGATATTACCTTTGGAAAAAAATGAACAACTTGAGACTTTCTCCTTCAGTGAGGCTAATATATCTTGCAAACAAGTTGATAAACAAAATTTTCGGAGTCACTTTGGACTTCATGTTAAACTTTAATCACTGAGATTTGTTTTCAGTGGTTTCAAGATATCTTACTCAAAACTCTTGGCTCTGGCAAATGTATCCACTCTCCACATCTAAAGGATGAAGACCATGGCATTTGAAGCATCCAAAATTTGAAACAGATGTCCAATAAGCTGAAATGATCTGGTATTTTTAAAAAATTCTTTTACTCACTGTGGAGACCCCTTAAGTAAGTGCATCCTGGTATGGGATACAAACATTTAGGCATGCAGCAATAAAATTATGGAATTCTCTCTGAAATAATGTATAAAAACACCATTGGATTTTAACAATTTTATATCCATACTGAAGACCTATATAAATGCTCCATATGTTAATAAAAAATAAATAATGCTGGCTTGTGTTGCTTTCACATGGTTATAGATGGATTTTATATTGTGTTGTGTGCTTAATATATTTTGCAGAGTCTGTCTTTGCATATTAAAATCAGTATGTATGTAAATGGTATCTTAAGAATGTATTGGATGGTCATTATTTTGACATAATGTTTTGACACTGCATGTAAGCATAGAGGATATTCAATACATGTAAACTGATGTCTCAAAAATTATAAATTGGATTTGTGGGTGAAGGGGTAGATGGAATATTTTAAGTGTGTATTTGCCAGCCATTATGCATACATATTTTAGAACTTTAAAAATATATTAACATTTTAAAAAGGAAAAACTCATGATTATTGTATGACTGATTGTTTGATTAGTTATTTTCATATTGTTTACAGTTGGTAAAATAGATCCAATGAGCTAATGACTGCTTATTATAATATGCAATGCAACTCTGACTTTTAAAAACAAATTGTCTAAGTCTAATTGTAAATTTATTTACAAAAAGGGCATTTTCATCGATGTATAGGAGATTTTTACATCACATTGCTGAGGACTTATTTTTTATCCATACTTATGAAAAACAAAGAAATCTTGTCACAGGCAACCATGAGTTATAAGGTAGTGTAATGGATTTTCACTCATGACTTGCATGTATGTAATTCTAGTGATAAAGCATTAGTTTTTTAGTGTTTATTTGCAATGGATATAGATATGCTAACCTAAAAAGGGAATCAACGTCAATATTACAGATACATAAGTACTGTGAGTACTGCACATCACCTTGATTTATAAAGTCTCTCATCACTAATTAACCAAACAATGTCTTCTTCAGATCTAATATCCATAATATTCAGTCCACAGATGAATAGGTAGGCCAAGAGAGATTATAATTTTCATGTATCAATGAGAGTTGTAAGCAACACACTGCCTCTTTCCCCATAGTAGCCTAGTGGTCAGAGCATCTGCCTTAGATGCAGGAGGTCAAAGGTTTAATCCCCAGCTGAGATATATCCAAGACTTATAAAAATGGTATAAGCAAGGTAAGTGACCTGTGGTGTCAGAATAATTTGACTGGGTGGGACATATTGCTACATGTCTGCAGCATGATGCCCAGTACTAGACATCACTATAAACTGCCACACTGCAGACATCATAGCAACATGACTGAATTTTTTTTAAAGCTACATTAAATATCCAAAACTTAAAACAAAAATATGTCATTTTACCAAAATGTTAATAATTTGAGCCTATTTATGATCAGCAATACAATCTCTAGAGTATTAGGAAACTCAGCCAATCATATTCAAGATCAACTCTATATCGGAGTCCTGTGTATATTCAAACTCATCACAATTTTTTATCACATGGTTTATATTTCAACTTTGATCAAAATCAGATTTCAAGAAAAGAAGCTCATCCAATCAGATACATGATAATGATATTATTACATGGATTTCCTGCTCATCCAATCAGGTACAAGATAATGATATTATTTCATGCTCATCCAATCAGATACAAAATAATGATATTATTACATGGATTTCCTGCTCATCCAATCAGATACATGATAATGATATTATTACATGGATTTCCTGCTCATCCAATCAGATACATGAAATTGATAGTATTACATGGATTTCCTGCTCATCCAATCCGATACAAGATAATGATATTATTTCATGGATTTCCTGCTCATCCAATCAGATACAAGATAATGATATTATTACATGGATTTCCTGCTCATCCAATCAAATACAAGATAATGATATTATTTCCTGTTCATCCAATCAGATACATGATAATGATATTATTACATGGATTTCCTGCTCATCCAATCAGATACAAGATAATGATATTATTACATGGTTTTCCTGCTCATCCAATCAGATACAAGATAATGATAGTATTTCCTGCTCATCCAATCAGATACAAGATAATGATATTATTACATGAATTTCCTGCTCATCCAATCATATACATGATAGTGCTATTATTAGATGGATTTCCTGCTCATCCAATTAGATACAAGATAATGATATTATTACATGGATTTCCTGCTCATCCAATCAAATACAAGATAATGATATTATTTCCTGCTCATCCAATAAGATACAAGATAATGATATTATTATATGGATTTCCTGCTCATCCAATCAGATACATGATAATGATATTATTACATGGATTTCCTGCTCATCCAATCAGATACAAGATAATGATATTATTACATGGATTTCCTGCTCATCCAATCTGATACAAAATAATGATATTATTACATGGATTTCCTGCTCATCCAATCAGATACATGATAATGATATTATTACATGGATTTCCTGCTCATCCAATCAGATACAAGATAATGATATTATTACATGGATTTCCTGCTCATCCAATCAGATACAAGATAATGATATTATTACATGGATTTCCTGCTCATCCAATCAGATACAAGATAATGATATTATTACATGGATTTCCTGCTCATCCAATCAAATACATGATAATGATATTATTTCCTGCTCATCCAATCAGATACATGATAATGATATTATTACATGGATTTCCTGCTCATCCAATCAGATACATGAAATTGATAGTATTACATGGATTTCCTGCTCATCCAATCAAATACATGATAATGATATTATTTCCTGCTCATCCAATCAGATACATGATAATGATATTATTACATGGATTTCCTGCTCATCCAATCAGATACATGATGATGATATTATTACATGGATTTCCTGCTCATCCAATCAGATACATGATAATGCTATTATTACATGGATTTCCTGCTCATCCAATCAGATACATGATAATGATATTATTACATGGATTTCCTGCTCATCCAATCAGATACATGATAATGCTATTATTACATGGATTTACTGCTCATCCAATCAGATACATGATAATGATATTATTACATGGATTTCCTGCTCATCCAATCAGATACATGATAATGCTATTATTACATGGATTTACTGCTCATCCAATCAGATACATGATAATGATATTATTACATGGATTTCCTGCTCATCCAATCAGATACATGATAATGCTATTATTACATGGATTTACTGCTCATTATGGAACTAATCAAGATCTGGAAGATGTAATAGCACCTATCTGATGTAACTGCACTAAGGGGAACTAATCACAAGCAAAAAGAGTTTTTCTTTTCCACATTTAATGTAACCCAACTGCTTCCAGATATTATGCTGACTTTCCTGTGTACTATGTTTGACCTGGCTTATAAACAATCATAGGGGACTTCAGAGATAGCATTCGCTAAAGACCTTTTCAAGAGCTAAATGATGAATTTTGAAAATATATACATCAAGCACAACAAGAGAAAAGATAATCTAATTATAGTTGCACTTTCACATGTATAGAAGTATTATATTACATGATGTATGTTTATTGTCATTCAAAAGACTTCATCTTGTGTAATAGTAATCACTGAATATTTGAAAAAGGAGGTCGATACAATACAGCTTGCTTTTAAATATTAATGTAAAACAAGGCCTTATTGTATAGACCTTAATATATTTTTCTTTATAAGAGGATGTGTTATATATATATATATATATATATATATATATATATATATATATATATATATATATATATATATATATATATTGTATTTGTTGGTTTTCTTAATGACTGTGTGTTATGATATGTTATGTATATCTGTATTTTGTAATTGATCTTATTCAAAATCATGATATATCTGACAAGTGACATTTATTTTGTAAGCAACATCATCTGAAGCTGATATTTATGAATGTGGATTTCATATTCAGATTATTATTAGTAATAAACATGTCTATCATCTTCATTCTGTCCTTAAAAAATTCTAGAATGGAAAATTCCTTTAAGTGACAGTATTTTCTGAAAGTGATAATTGTAACCGAGGTAGAGTGGAGAGGTGCATAATTTTTTTATACCTAGGAATTGCTCATTCTTCGCTTAACATCTGAAACAAAATGATTCTTATTATTGAGTTTAGTTTTTTATTTGAGTTTCAAATTATCCACTTTGGTACAATATATAACCACAATGTCAGTCTATTTATGTGTTTAAAATATATACCCACTATGGCAGTCTATTTATGTGCCATTTATGTATTTACAATATATACCCACTATGGCAGTCCATTTATGTATTTACAATATATACCCACTATGGCAGTCTATTTATGTATTTACAATATATACCCACTATGGCAGTCTATTTATGTATTGACAATATATACCCACTATGGCAGTCTATTTATGTGTTTATAATATATACCCACTATGGCAGTCTATTTATGTATTTACAATATATACCCACTATGGCAGTCTATTTATGTGTTTATAATATATACCCGCAGTCCATTTATATATTTACAATATATACCCACTTTGGCAGTCCATTTATGTATTTACAATATATACCCACTATGGCAGTTTATTTATGTGTTTACAATATATACCCACTATGGTAGTCTATTTATGTGTTTACAATATATACCCACTATTGCAGTTCATTTATGTATTTACAATATATACCCACTATGGCAGTCCATTTATGTATTTACAATATATACCTACTATGGCAGCCTATTTATGTGTTTACAATATATACCCACTATGGCAGTCCATTTATGTATTTACAATATATACCCACTATGGCAGTCTATTTATGTGTTTATAATATATACCCACTATGGCAGTCTATTTATGTATTTACAATATATACCCACTATGGCAGTCCATTTATGTATTTACAATATATACACACTATGGCAGTCTATTTATGTGCCATTTATGTATTAACAATATATACCCACTATGGCAGACTATTTATGTGTTTACAATATATACCTTTATGTGTTTACAATATATACCCAATATGGCAGTCAATTTATGTATTTACAATATATACCCACTATGGCAGTCTATTTATGTGATTACTATATATACCCACTATGGCAGTCTATTTAGATATTTACAATATATACCTACTATGGCAGTCCATTTATGTGTTTACTATATATACCCACTATGGCAGTCCATTTATGTATTTACAATATATACCCACTATGGCAGTCAATTTATGTATTTACAATATAAACCCACTATGGCAGTCTATTTATGTGTTTACAATATATACCCACTAAAGCAGTCCATTTATGTATTTACAATATATACCCACTATGGCAGTCCATTTATGTGTTTATAATATATACCCACTATAGCAGTCTATTTATGTATTTACAATATATACCCACTATGGCAGTCCATTTATATATTTAAAATATATACCCACTATGGCAGTCTATTTATGTGTTTATAATATATACCCACTATGGCAGTCCATTTATGTATTTACAATATATACCCACTATGGCAGTCTATCTATGTGTTTACAATATATACCCACTATGGCAGTCCATTTATGTATTTACAATTTATACCCACTATGGCAGTCTATTTATGTGTTTATAATATATACCCACTATGGAAGTCTATTTATGTATTTACAATATACCCACTATGGCAGTCCATTTATGTATTTACAACATATACCCACTATAGCAGTCTATTTATGTTTTTATAATATATACCCACTATGGCAGTCTATTTATGTATTTACAATATATACCCACTATGGCAGTCCATTTATGTATTTACAATATATACACACTATGGCAGTCTATTTATGTGTTTATAATATATACCCACTATGGCAGTCTATTTATGTGTTTACTATATATACCCACTATGGCAGTCTATTTATGTATTTACATAATATACCCACTATGGCAGTCCATTTATGTTTTTACAATATATACCCACTATGGCAGTCTATTTATGTGTTTACAATATATACCCACTATGGCAGTCCATTTATATATTTAAAATATATACCCACTATGGCAGTCTATTTATGTGTTTATAATATATACCCACTATGGCAGTCCATTGATGTATTTACAATATATACCCACTATG